ATAGTATGAGAGATACATTATATGTACTTTTTTTTTTTTTTTTTTGTTTTTTTCTTTTTTCCGTGTCCGGCAACGGATCGCAACCCTCAGTGTTGCCCCCGTACCGGGCCGGGGACCAGCAACGGGATCGCAAGCCTCGGCGTTGCTCCCGCGCCTCGCTCAGCCAGTGAGCGGGAGCCGGTCTGTATGTGGGATCCGAACCCTCGGACGGGAGCGCCGCCGCGCTTCCCAAGCGGCGCACCATCCAGTGCGCCACCGGGCCGGCCCCATATCAAGTTCTAAAGGCTATATTTAACATAATATGACACACAGCCCAAAACCTAGCAGTGCCTAATCCTTCCAAAACATTAATCATCCGCTGTCATCAGTGGAAGAAGAAAATTCTAAGATATGAAAATCAGGATTATTTACTGCCATGATTTGTACATAGTGAACCAACCATAAAATTGTGTAAAAGATGTTGGATTGGAAGAGAGGAAGAGAAAGAGATAAAATATGCAGCAGACTCACTAAGAAGAAGAGAGATAACATTTAGGAAGTGTTTTCACACGTTTTAGTCCTTCATTAATGTTGCTCTGGAATCCCAGAAGCTCCTTAGATTCCACAGGAGACACCAATAGATTTATAAATGTATTCCACATTGATTAAGATCTGTAGAATTGTGTTTTTTAGTTTTTGAATACAAAATAATTGAACAAGTAAAAGTTTTTGAATACAAAATAATCGAACAAGTAAACAAAAAAAAATCTAAATAGAGTCTTGAAAGATACAGGGAAAGTAGATGAAAAGCTACATCTTAGGTCAGTACAGAAATACCAAAAGGTAACGACAGAAATGGTAAAGTGGTCCATTTCAGTTACCCACTGTTTTAAAGTTTTGTGCTGTAACCAGCATTATATGCAATTATTGCATCTGTGAACTAATTTACATCTTATCTAATGTTAAATGTTTTCAATGTTTCACCTCTGAGAAGATCTTCACAACCATAGAGGCTCCATGTTTATCCCAAGACTTTCCATCTTCTAGCTCATTATACGTCTACAAGTAAACAGTCTACTCTGAGAATAATGGCCTACTGTGATTTAATTAGTGTCTTACATGGTATCGGATTTTTAAATTTTGCATTTTGCCAACACAGTATTCATATCATCTGTTAGAAGATTATCATTATACATAATTTGTATATAATTCTGAAAGCTAACATATCAAATAACTTGATAAACCTTCTATCAATGTGAATAAAGTACTTACACTAATAAGTACGCCATGTCATGGGACCTTTGAAACAAAAATTTTTGTTTCCTTAACAAAAATCTTTGTAGTACTTCATCAGCATCCCCATTCATTGAAATCTTATTTTGATCTGACCAGAGCTCCAAGGAAGATAGCATAACAGTCATGTTGAGCTGGGAAAACATCTGAAAACAGAAGATACGTGTTATGCAGTTTTGGGTAATCATAAATGCAACATTATAACTTTATACATGATGCTAATGTTATCAATTTACCTTTTTTTTGGAGATGAATTCATTGCTGGATGAAACTAGTTGTTAGGACTATACTTTCTAAAAAATGCACATATCATTTATAAAAACAATGTTTATGCATTAATTTGAATGTTTCTTATTTAAATATGAAACATAAATTACTTACAGTGTTGATAAGCCCAAAGACATAAACAACTTTCTCAGCTGCAACTGCCACCTCAGAACCCATGTAGTCATACTGAAAGACAAATTTTGCTTCTTAATCACTAGTAAAAATGACTAGTATACCACATTGTAAGTGGATTTAAACACAAAAGATAAAACAGTGCTTGACTGAAGATGCAAAGGTAGAATTAAGACTTATCAAATGCTTAATAGGGACTTTATAAATTAGTCAACAAAATTAAAATGAAATAGCTGTGTTTATCTTCCTCTTTGCAGATATAAAAATTAAGAGTCAAATTATTAGGGTTTCAAGAGTACATAACCAATAAGAATGAGAACCAGTACTCAAATCTCTAACTAACCTACTACACCTGTTTTTTCTTACTGTAGCAGTAGAATGCTGCCTTCTTTGTCTTCATCCCAATAAACAACCTGACTATACATCCTGGATAAACAAGGTACTTGCTAAAGTCAGAGCCCTGAGTACTGCAATAGTGAACAATTTCAAGAATATATCCTCATTCAAGGAAATGAAAATCATATATTATCTGAAATGTAATTTCCAAATGTGTGTGCACACATGTCTAAGCATTCGATGAACACATAACAATTGGCAGTACTTACTTGGGATCTACAGTAATCCCCAGCAAGTCTGCAGAAGACTCCTGACAGAAAACAAAATGCAATGGATAGGGTTCCTCTCTTACATAGACAAAAAAGATGCTATCCTCCCAACTGTTTGAGGTCCAGGTCTTTAGAGATTTTTTGCACCTTGCTACTTCTCTGTATGTGAACTGTCCCAATAAACCATATTGCACATTTACACAGTTCAGCATGTGTGGTAGGAGTGAAGGTAATCCTTTGCAAAGCTAAACATATGAATATCAAACAAAAACAGGAAAACATGATTATGGAAATGAATCCAAATATATCAATAATCACAAAATATTAAAAGTCCAAACACTAGTTAAATGTAGAAGATAAAAATTCTACTACTACATGGGCCCAGCCCTGTGGCTTACTCAGGAGAGTGCAGCACTGTTAGTGCTGAGGCCACGGGTTTGGATCCTGTATAGGGATGGCCGGTGCTCTCACTGGCTGAGAGTGGTGCAGACCACACCGTGCCAAGGGTTGCGATCCCCTTACCGGTCCAAAAAAAAAAAAAAAAATCCACTACATGAAAATTAAAATGAAAAAACCCTGAAATATAAGGACATATATATATTAAGTCAAAAGATGAGAAGATATTAGGTAGACAATATCAGGAAAATACTAGACAAA